CTTACTGAGATAACCTGCATCAAATTTTGCCTGCAGCCACAACTTAAATGTCTTTTCTTCCACATAAATACGCTTATGGTTCCTCAGCCACGCTTTCTTGTATTCCCCTCTGTCTTCAACCTTTCGTTTCCGCCCTGAGTTAATGCGTTTACCGCCATGTCCGGATCCTCCGCTAGACGCCATTTTGAATTTGTGAATGCAACTTGAAAAAGTCAGGATGACTTTTTCAAGTTTCGATCAGCTACACGAGCATGCGCAGACCATGACCGTGTCCCTTTAATAACGTTCCTTATTTTTCGAAATCCTAAGACTAAAGTGAAAACACAATTTATCAATCGCTGTAAGAAATCATGCAATGGATAAATAGTTATGAATTATCAAAACTCGCCGAACGATTATTTGGTTCAAACTTCATCAGCAACATTCACCTCAAGACTTCCTCATATGCGTTTACTCTTTAAAAATGCGCCCAGAATATGGCTTTTAAGTAACAAACATGGCAATCCTTTTCTTTTAACAGTTCATAGTTGTACCTTATGATTATTATTTACAATAAAAGGAGACCATTCGTAGGCAGAAAGAAATTTTGTGACATCTTATTCTGGTTTTGTCTCCTTAAATGTCTCAGAATAAAAGCAGGAGTCTGTTTTGCGCCACAACTACGTGTTTGTTTAATCGGTAAAGTTTAATTTAATAATAAATTAGCATTTAGAGTCAAACCTAGAGACATCTGTGATGGATTGTTATTTCACATCGTTTTTGAAACTCTGTCTCCTCAGGTAGAAAATCATTCCTAGGTGAGCGTAGATGGTAAAGTGCTACATTTAATTCCGGAAAAATCGAGAAAAGTCTACAAGAACAGGGGATTAAAGTTTTTTTTTTTTTTTTGTAAACACACACTTACACATTGTTAACCAGTAATATTAACACTCTAAAACTCATGATTATAGACATTCTTGGAACAAAAAACAAATTCAATTTTGTAACTGGTCGTATGACCGACTCAGTATCGCTAGAGAATGTCAAGCTCTTTAATTTAAAAAGGAAAAAAGAAACTCGATGTCCAATTACGAAAAGGACGTACCACAATAAGGTAATATGGACTCAAAATAGAAACAAACAATCTTCTTGAACCGCGGCAAAACGCGAGAGACCAAGTCATTATTGACTACAAGAGGGTGGCAGGTGGATTTTGGGCGCTAAGGTATCAGCACCAGCTAAGTCCTACAGGGTACGCACTTGGTCTCGATAGATCTGAAAGAGAACTCTGTAACAAGTGATGATGGTAAATTTCATTTCACATCCTTTGACAAACTCTGTTGACATATGCAGGTGAAAAATCATCTTCACATATTTATAAATATAACGGGGTTTTTCTAATAACCAAATAGAATTGAGGACTAAAATTAAACCAGCTCGTTTGGCAATAAGGCGTCAACATCAAGCACTTTTCACTGATTAGCGAGAAAGAAAATTGAAATCAATCATAACAAACAAATATCTCGAAAACTCTCTTAAACTGCTCTTAAAAGTGTCATCCAATGCTTTGATATTGTTTAAAGAAGAATGAACATGAGAGTAAAGTTCATGCATGTCTTTCTTCGATTATGACTAGATGTAATTATGATAAAGTTTGAATTAGTAGCACGAGAAATATAGCTAATGTTTCCATTGCTTTTCCTTCAGACTATCTACAAACCTCGAGCAAAAATTTCTTCGAGCTTCCTTTTTCCTCCTTTCTTATAACAATAATAAATATTCTCTAACAATAAATGCGACTTTTTGGTCACCTATGAAAGTCTTCAATACAAGTATAACTCATGAGGGATCTAACTCCATGGACAGCAAAGTGCTTGTCTGATTGTCTGCTTCACTGCTTGTCTTACTTCACTAACCTTCCAGAGGTAAAGAAATGGATTTAACGTTGAGTTAAAGTAAACTAAGACAAGTGCTACTTCCCCTAGGACTACTAAGTGAGGTGAATATCTTTCAATGTTAGCGATTACAATTGTTACTAAAAAGTATGGTGCATAACAAACAGCTAATGTCATCTGCACCCAAAGTACACTGTACACTGTCTTTTTGTATCGTGCTATGTGCAGTGCATTTTTTTGGCTCGGTTGTTGTTGAACATGATCTTGTACTTGAGCCTGATGATGATTGAGACCCCGAAAAAGTTTTACATACAAGGCGAATGAAATAGGAAGACAAACTGGTATAAATATATCTATGGCCATACCAAATGAGTATACGGTAATCTAATGCGAAGCATAAAACAGCGACACTGGATACAATCCAAAAGGTAGCTACAATAATCTATGTGCGCTTCAAAGTTACAATTTGTTTGTATCTTATGTCTGTATCTTAGCCCCAACAGCAGGGTGAGAAGTCCGTCCACGCTTATGGCCGTTATCGTCATCAACGACACTCCACATAATGCCTAGCCTGTGACGTAGGCTGAGTCAAATGCGTATCGACAAAGATTCCATTGTTCTTGAACCACGGACATCCAAACAGTAGCATTGAAAGGATGGCAAACAAGACCAACCAACAGATCAGATGTTGCCATACAACGATGAAAGAGTTTGGACGGCGGATGCAGGGAAGATTGTTTGTGAAGGGCAACGAGGATAAGAAAATTGCCAAGAAATTTTGTGATGGACAAGAGAGAGTAGATTATTAGAAGAGGAGTTTTAGTTCTTGCTGAACCCCAACAGCCAGAGAGGGGGAGCAATATAATGTAATTCTTGAAATGTTTTCGCCTGTGTTCCAACTGTAGTGAAATTTGATATGTCGACATTGCTGCATCCTTCTTCTCTAATGATATTCACGTTAAGACTTCCTCACCTGCGTTTATTTCTTAAAAAAATCCGTCAGAAAATTGTCTATTGTGTCAAATAATTTTACTTATATTTATATATATTATTTATTTCCTTATGTTACCCTGGAACCTATAAAGTGCCTCAAGTATAAAATCATAATGAGAGGCGAAAATTGAGACATCTGTATTTCCATTCTTTTACGGTGCGACAAATAATTCCTCTTTACGTCGATCAAATTTCATTGATAGGATGCTAATCAAGGCTCCATCTCATTCGTGTGAAGTTCAGGCTTGAACCATTTATTATCAGTCACAGAAAGTTAAAAATGAAGTTCATGTTGGAGATGTAAGTTGTTGTAGGAAAATATTGAATTCGTGACAATCACCGAGGGCACCAGTAAAATATTTAAAATTTATGCCTGGCTGGCCACAGGTACAAACCTGTTTCAAAATATTTGAATTTAACTGTGTAATTACTAACGTTTTGCTTTTTTTTTTTACACTGCTTCGTCTCCGACTGGAACAAAAAAGGAAATAGCCGAACATGGTTAATATTTTACGCCAGCAAAGTTTTTTCAGCAGTTTCTTTTTCCTAGTCTTTATTTGTTCTCCTCCTTTCGCCAGAAAATTCATAGAGTCTTGGGTTCTATCAAATACCAATTCATTCGATTCCGCTCCGACAAACCCTTTGTTTTAGTCACCCAAGGGAAATAACTGACAGACTAACCAAACGCGTTAATTCATTATTAAAACGATGAAACAATTTAAGTTACTTCTTGTAGAGGAGTTTTTTCCAATGAAATTCTCCTTCAAATTCTCTTTGATAATTCAGAATAATGACTGCAGCTGAACTACACCACAATGCACTGTTCACTGCCTTTCTGTATCGCGTCAAGCTCAGTGCATTTGGTTGGCTCGGCTGTTGTTGAACACGATCTTGTACTTGAGCCTGATATATGATACCTGAGAGAGCGAAATAGTTTTGTGTATGAGGCGAGGGAAATAACCATACAGCCGTACCAAAAAGTAATACGGGGATCGACAATGATGTATAACCAGTCGACAAGAATTAAAATCTAAAAGGTAGCTACAATTTGTCCGCTATATCTCAGCCCCAACAACAGGGCAAGAAGTCTGTCCGCGCTTATTGCTGTCATTGTCAAAAAAGACACTCTACATAATGTATAGCCTGCTATGGAGGCTGCATCATTCAAGTAGCGACAAAGACTCCAGTGTTCGTGAACAACAGATATCCAATAAATAGCTTGGAGAGGCAGTTCAACAAGGCCAACCAACAGATTATTTCTTGCCAGACAACGTTACAAGAGTTTGGACGGCGGATGAAGAGAAGATTACTTGTAAAGGGCGCCAAGGATAAGAGCATTTCCAAGAAATACTGTGATGGAGAGGAGAATGTTGACTGCTGAAAAATTGATTGATTGTAGTTGCAATCCATCTATCAAATCAGAGGAGCAACGAAACTCTTCTAATGTTTGCAAATGCACTCCACTTGTTTTCGAAACCGCACCCGCTCAGCCAAGATCAGTTAATCTAACTCTTCTACTTAAATAATAGTCATGTCGAATAAAGACTTCTTCAGCAACGTTTTCCCATTTAAAACATACGAGAAAATAATCTGTTGAGTCAATAACGCGGACTACATACGATCGAAGTACATCATTCCAGCAGTCGTTTTCTTTTTCTTGTAAGTTACCTATAATTACAGCAAGGGATGTTTCGTTTAGACTGCTCCCAACCGGCCGCAATCATAACTTATAACTCACATTTTTGCGATACGATTCAGATGAACTGACCCCCACAGCAGCGTTTTCTAAACTGAAATGCGGGCGAAAACTGTTTGTTTCATGAAAATGCATTTCATGCACATACTATGCTTTGCATTTATTATGATCTGTAAAAAAACCCAATTTCTCAGTAGTTAGCTACTCTGCAACCTTTTATTCTGACTACCTTCCATAAAATTCTCTAGATTATTCTGACACAACTTTCCATTTATGGAAAATAACCATAGGTGATATCAAATTTGTAATTACAAAGTTTTTCTTTGTTTGTCTAGGGAGTACAACCCCCTTGAAAACTCCTCGTTAAATCGTCCTCTGTTACGCAGAAAAAACAGGAAGTTTCGTCACTGAATAAGGCTGTTTGCCAAACCTGCGTATCTAACATAGTTATGAATCAGTATCAGGAGCCCATTAGTAATGGGCTCCTGTTAGTATTAAGGTCATATATGGAAAAATGTGACATCGGTAGCAAACTGTTATTACAAAATGAAAAATTCTTTCTTCTGAGGCAAATGAAGACATCATGTAATTTAGATAATAGATCAATTTTCGATCGAGCGTCAAAAGAGAGACAGAGATACCGTTATGTGACAAATAGATTTATTTGGAATTTAATCCAGAAAAATCGCATTTCTTGAAAAAGAGAGATGATAATATTCTCCATCATTTCGTTTCTTATTAAAAAGTGGTTTCGTTTTTCCCCCGTGTTTATTTGTAACTGTATGTAACATCTTGACAGCATCTGCCAGGCTGCGATCACGTAAATTCACTTTTTTTAATTACATTTACATAGAAACATCTTCAACAACGTTCACTTATTTAAAATGCATATACGAAGTGCCTATGCAAAACCTCGCGACGACAATAATGTCTTGTACTTTTTCCTCCAATCATAAACTGACAATGCTTGAGATGAGATAAATTTAGGTTGTAAAACAGGCTGTCACGTATTCTGCAGGTGAAACGGTCCTGACGTTGTTGCTTTGTTTTACAATATCCTCATCAGAATTTACCAACAGCGTAGTGATCCTGATTTATTTTCATCTGTCTTTGATCTTTTAATTAAAACTTAAAGTTTTTGATATAACATGTCATTATTTATGCCGCCACAGTTTTCAGCATTGACAGTGAGTTTCATTCCGGCGAACTAGTCAGTTCGTTTCATATCAATACAACCTATTGAGTAAAACATTATATAAGAACCAGCAATAATCAAATTCATTTTAAGTGTTGATCCCAAAAAGTCTACCTGACTGTTAAAAAACAAACACATTTACAATTTCTCTATTGACCAATTCATTACAAATTAAAATTTAGGCCAAGGTTGGTTTTTTGGCCACCACCTATATGAGTCCATCAAATGCCTTCTTACCATAAGTTGACAATTTTCACCAATGCCTGAATATTATAAACAAGGCTCTGCAAGGAAGAAATTTCCGCCTCCGGTCTGTTTTTAATGAGTTTCTTCTTCGTCTTCTTTACTCCTTTGCCAGCAAGAAGATCCCACTATTGAGATATTGTCGCTCAAATGAGTTTTTGCCCGTTCTTCATGATCAGTTGCTCTGAAGGTAATTAAAAACAAATTTTGTGCAACCAGTAATTAATACATAGGTTCGGGAAAGTCCATCAAATCCATCAAATCTGTCATTTAAATTTGTTTCTTTTCTTCAGCAAACCATAGCCGACTTCAAGAACAGCAAAGTGCTTGTCTGATCGTCTCCTTTACTGCTTGTCTTATTTCAGTAATCTTCCAGCAGTAAAGGAACGAGTTTAGCGTTGAGTTAAAGTAAACTAAGGCTACTCCAATTCCTCTACTGACAACTAAATGTGAATACGTTTTGCTATAAGTGATCTGAATTTCTATAATACTGTAGGGTACATAACAAACAACTAATGCTAACTGAACCCACAGAGCACTGTACACTGCCTTTTTGTATCGCGCCATGTTCAGTCTATTTGCTTGGCTCGGCTGTTGTCGCAGATGAGATTGTACTTGGGCACGATGATGGCTGAGAGCTCGGAATATTTTTGTGTACGAGGCAATTGAGATTACAAGGCAAGATGTTACCACAACACAGCCACACCAAAAGGTTATTCGCTTATCTAAAATGTAACTTAAAGCAGCGATACCACACAAAACCCACAAGAAAGCTAAAGTGATAAAGATGCGCTTCACAGTTACAATCTGTCTGTATCTCATCCCCAACAACAGGGCGAGAAGTCTGTCCACGCTTATGGCCGTCATTGTCGTTAGAGACGCTCCGCATAATGCATAGCTTGTTATGTAAGCAATGTCATATAAGTAGCGACAAAGACTCCACTGCTCGTGAACCAAAGACATCCAATACGTAGCATTATGTGGCTGGCTAACAAGACCAATTAACAGATCAGTTGTTGCCAGACAACGATACAAGAATTTGGACGGCGGATGAAGAGAATGTTCCTTGTGAAGGGCAACAAGGATAAGGGAATTTCCAAGAAATGCTGTGATGGAGAAGAGAATGTTGACCGCTGAGAAATATGTTGATTGTTGTTGCAACTCCCCAACCAAAGAAGGGGAACATGCCAATTCATCAAATGTTTTCGTATCTCTTTCTTCTGCTGTTAAATTTGTTATCGCCATCGTACTTCAGGTTTCTATGGTGGCGTCCTCACGATAATTCCTAATCCAGCATTAATTAATTAAATTCATCTAAATAATGTTTTTCAGTTAGGGCCTTAAGTCAGTATCAATTATTCATTAAAACTAACGCAAATGATCCATCTTTGTGTCACGAAACTCCATATTTTATCTCAGTCAAGGTATCTTAAATCATATTAGGAGCCTTTGAGGGAATCCTTTTCTCACTGATAAATGATTCTGTGACATTTCTATCTTGCGTCTTGCCCTCAGAGGTTTCAAGATATTCATGGTTAATATTTTATTCCAACACCATAAAGAGTTGACTTACCCGGCCTTATCGGGAAGACGTTTGTCTACAATTATCTCAGGTTTGAAAATGGAAGTTTAATATCAAAAAGAGGTGTGAGTGTCTCAGTCACGTGTCTAATAGATCAGTAAACGTAATTTAGGTATGGATTCAAAAGCATTTACGATCTAAGATCATAATTCCACGAAAAAAGATGGATAGTACGACCTCAAATGACATAAATAATTGATATAATACCCGCCAGACCTTTATCTGAAAACAAACTCTGGTTTGAAGGTAAAAGTTAAAAAGCGAACAGAGCTGTGCGTGTGTCGCTCATGCGACTACCAATTAGGTAAATGTTATTTTAGGTTAAAAAAAAAAGGGATCTGAAATCATAATTTCACGAAAATAGATGGATAGCACGACCTTCCAGTCCCAAAAGGGAATGATAAAAAAGACCAATTCTTTAAAAGATGCCGTTGCTATATACCATGTTTCCCATCTGACTAAAAGTGCAGAAGGACTGTTCATTCGATAGGCGCAAAATTTTTAATAACTTTTAGGTTATTTGCTCATGGATATCTTTTAACCCACTTCAAAACAATCTCATTACAATCAGGTAGTAAGTTTCTTTAAACAGGTTCTACGAATTCATTATCGAGGTGATCGGTTAAGCTACAATGAGTTTCAAAAGCAGATAGAACGCCTTCCCCTTGTAGTCGGTCAACAATCCTTCACTCAGGCATAATCTGCAGTTGGAACGCCTTCCATCAGTAGTCGGTCAACAATCCTTCACTCAGGCATAATCTGCAGTTGGAACGCCTTCCATCAGTAGACGGTCAACAATCCTTCACTCAGGCATAATCTGCAGTTGGAACGCCTTCCATCAGTAGGCGGTCAAAAGTCCTCCACTCCGCATAGTATATACATAAATCTCGTCGTTAATGTGTATTAAGTGACTTGAAAGTCTCTCCTATTCCTTAAGAGGAAATTAAAATTGTTGCAAAAAAAATTGATCTATTTTGTATCACCACTCCACACTGAGATGGGGGACAGGGGAGGATAAACGTAAGTTATAACAAAGATTCAAAAAGATGTAGAGCACGCCGAGACTTTTGCCACTCATTGTAGATTATGCTAATATGTTTTCCGTTAAAGTTGAAAAAAAGATGTCGTGTGCGACAGGTGTCTGCATTCTCCTCGGTGTAATTTCAATTTTTTTTTTCTCCTGAAGGTCGTAAACTGACAACTTCTTCAAAACATAATCATATATTCCAACTTTGGTTTTAAGATGTCCGTTTTGCCAAAGTTTGTTTGTTTAGTTTTTATTAATTTTTTTTTTTTTCACATCAGTCCTAACATGAACTGAAAACTTCATTATTGATGACACCAGAGGCTTTTTCAGTATCAGTGTACTGCAAATGATGTCTGTGTAAGTCACGTTTTACAATTATACAACTCAGGACCTTTCACTTGACTCCTAATGCATACATAAACAC